TATCCTCTTCAATTTGAGCTCCCTATGGTTGTCCCTTCTGGTACCTGGGCTGACGACCCGCCAGTTACCTCAGACCGTACTGATTCTGGGTCCGTACACTCCTTGGTGCGAATATACTTTTCAAGTATTACGAGTTGGATCCTGTGGTCTCAATGCCACGCTTATATAACTCACTGTTACTCTCAACTATATTTAATTCACCAATGGATTTACTGCTCATTGTGACTATTAAATTTTAATTACTATTATCTATAATTAAAGTACACTAAATACGAGATTAACGTAGTTCGGGATATCTTTGGCTGAACAGTACTTTCCAATCTTTAAATTACCTAAACCACGCTTAGCTCTGTATTAATCATACTAAACTTTCGCAAAATAATCCACCTTAGATTGGACAAGCCATTAGTATTTTATTAACAATTAAAATTTAGAATAAAACAATTTGGAACCGGTATGATCAGGACACCTATTGTAGGTTCTTTTAACCTGATTTGTGCTAATTTACTTTAATTTACGTAAAATTATTTTTATTAAAATTAACACTTACCTCACTCTTTTTCCGACTGCGCCGCTGTAGGTATAGGTACGGTTTTGAATATAAAAGAAGACACGTCGTTGATTATCACCTGTTATTTAACACACACCATAAAACATCTATCATTAAGGTTAGGTATATCATTAGGTTAGGTTAGGTATATCATTAAGGTGTCACGGTGGCGACGGTCATTCAAAAGCTGCCTGCCTCGTCCGCCATTTGAAGGGCCGGATACTCACACCGCCGGTAGTGGCTAGACCAGTTCTCGGTCGGGATCTTGTGGACGCCGATAGAGACGCTGTGGACGTTGCTATAACGACTGCGACAGTGACTATCAGAGTTAACTGAAAAAATGTATTTGATATCCAAGCTCAAGAAAATTGAAGAGGAGTAACCAAGATATAATTACTAACCACGCTGTTGTCATGGGACAGATCAAGTCGGGGTATCTTATTGAGATTCACTGCAATCTGTCACAATTTGAGGCTTTTAGGGCAGAGGTCTAGAGATCGGAGGGCGTGGATGTTGACGTTATATCTCTGAAATGCCAAAATTCTAGAGATCAAAAAGATCTTGGCGAGTGCTCCAACAAGAAGGAACTCTCAACGGCATTGCCACTATTTCTGGAATTGAGGTGAATGCCCTCTACTAAGAATGGTGATCTTGCAGAATCAGACAGTCTAGGCAAGGTAATATTCTTTTAATGCCTTTTGTTCGGCTTTATCGTTATGGCTCCGGGCTCAATAGAAGCTTACCTGACCTAACCAGGCGATGCAGAGCATATAGCCATAAGGTGGCCAACTGTGAAGTGCTATTGTGAAACCAGGGAAGAGCTGGAGAGGAGCCACATCCTCACACAGGTAACCTCGGAGACTTCTGCAGCGCTACAAAGATCCTCTAAATAAACATCCGAGTCTGTTGTGCGGTTCAATACCTCTTGACGGAATGGGATGCAGAAATACTCGTGATCGGCGAGAACCATCGCAGTCACCCGGAAACTGATTGATGGTTCACTGATGTGTCAACTGTCAAGTCACTCGGTTGTCGCTATCTTAGACCAAGTGACTGTAGACCACGTAGGTCCATCGATCAAGGCCTTCCAAATGATAATAGTGGATTCCAAATTGCGTCATCGCCAAGTTTAAGGACTTTAAACTGTGGCTGTAGGTCAGACCATTCACTACAGTATAGTGGCTTAAATCATGGATCATTCAGGCAGCTAAACGCTGCGTACTAGAGTGGCAGCCAGCTACTGGAAGGGCACCGATACCGTGGCGAAGCTTTGAAATCGGGACACTACGCAGAGAATGACTGGAGAATCTTAAAGAGGAAGAAACAAAGGCTCGGTGAGGTTGGCATCCGACGGCTTCAGGATAGGTGAGTGGAACTCCGGAGGACCCTGTTATAGGCAATCAAGGCTGTAAAGGAGAGGGCTTTTGAGGATCTCATTGCGGCAGTGGACAAAGACCCCGGGGGGAAGGCATGCATGGTGGTCATCAAGCATCTCAAGAGATGCTAGAGAAAGCTCTTTAGAGTATCACTTAAAAATTAGAGGTTAATTCTACCTAAATACTTCGCCTTCCTCCAGAACCTATAATAACGAGGAGGGGAACATGGCTAGAAACTGCTTTGTTTTACTCAGAAAATGTCATTAAATTTAAAGAATTGATATCTTATGTAGAAGATGGTGCCCAATCTGTCAAAAAAATGAAATCTATTTTGAGTACTACATCAATGATATCAGATTTATAATTTATTCGATCACATTTGTCATAGAAAATTGGCTATACCACCATAACCTCGGAAAAGTTGTTCTATTAATTTTTGGAATATCGCGCTAGCCGGTGCGACACCATACGGTAACCTATGAACCTTAAAAAGTCCTTTGTGTGTGCTCCACGTTAAAATTTTCGAAGATTCTTCATCTAATTCTAATAAGTTGTATGCTGCACTAAGATCAATTTAACTAAACTCTATTCCTTTACTCACTTTTTGAAAAATTTCTTCGATTCTCGGTAACGGATATTTTACGTCCTGCACAAACTTATTTACCGTAACTTTGTAATCCGCACATAATCTAATTTTACCATCGCTCTTTAAAATTGGTACTAATGGACTTCCCCATTCACTCGATTCCACTTGCAAAATTATACCTGATTTCTAAAACCTGCATAACTGTTCTTCCGTGTGTCCTTAAACGCAAAAGGGTTTAGTTGTTTGTTTGCCTTGTTTTGTAAAATATAGGAGTAACATTGTCCTTCACTCTAATTTAAAATGTTTTTTACGTATATTTACCTACATCGTCAATAAAGATTAAATAATGTTGAATATTTATTTTTTAATTTTTCAAAATTAAGCTCGATGTAATCAAACACATTTAAATAGTTAATTTTCAAGTCGAATTTTTCCATAAAATCTCTACCTAACAAATTTGGACCTCCATTCTCAACTACAAAAATTTTAAAAAGTTCGCACATTCTATTTTTGAAACCAACATCCGCTAAGAAAAAACCCAAAATGTTAATTTTTCACCCATGTAACCATTAACATTTTTACAAACTTTTTTCAAATCGCGTTTTTATGAAATAACTCGTGAAATGATTTTTCCGGAATAACTGATAAACCTGAATCAGAATCTAATTGTGCCTTTAATTTTATATCATTAATTTTTACGTCTAAAATAATAGGTTTTAAATCCTTCGTTTCTATGTTACAAATTAAACTCTCATGTGTACCGTCATCTACTGACTCAGCATTCAACAAAATTATACTTTTAGATTTATTACATATCCTTGACTAATGTCCTATTGTACCCAATTTTTATATTTATTTCGAATACCCGTATGCCGTTATCCGCAAACTCGACGTTGATTGTTCTCTAGTACCTTGTCAACTCCTTTATTCTTTTCCTTTTAATTTCCACTGCTTCCCTTAGACTGTTTATGGCCAAATTTATCCGCAAACTCGACGTTGATTTTTCTCTAGTACCTTGTCAACTCCTTTATTCTTTTCCTTTTAATTTCCACTGCTTCCCTTAGACATACCTTAGTGTCCTGTAATTTTCGCCCCTCGATATCCGTGATTCCCTTGCCTCGAAGCCAAATGTCTGTACTCCGGCGATGACGTAAGGTATTTTCTTCGAAATTAAAGTCCTTTTTTGTTTTATTATCCAACTTGCAAGTGCAATTTCGGCAATTTGAGAAAAAGTTATTTTACAAGTTGGTTTTTTCTCACTAACTCTGTTCTTGATTTTACCTGATTTTAATCCGAAAACAAATTTATCGATTAAAATACCTTCGAGTTTGTTATCAAAATTCTAATTTATTGATACATTTCTAATTCTTGGCGGAAAATCCGCAAATGGCTGGTAAACATTTTTATTTCTTATTATTATTATCATATACATGCGACAAAAAGGGATTTGTCGACCATCTGCCAGTTCGTGGGATAGTCCATTGTTACTCGTACCCAAAAAGGACGGTACTTTCCGACCATGTGGCGATTACCGACGCCTTAATAGAGTAACGAGACCAGATCGTTACCCGCTACCTCACTTAAATGATTTCACAGCGAATCTGACGGGATGCACAGTGTTCACCTAGCTCGACCTAGTCCGATCTTACCACCAGATTCCTATCACCAAGCAGGATATACCGAAAACAGCTGTAACAACACCGTTCGGCTTATTCGAATTTCCGGTTATGTGCTTTGGTTTGCTCAACGCCGTCCAAACTTTCCAACGCGTAATCAACGGTATATTACGCGGGCTAAATTTCTCGTTCGCATACATCGGCGATATGTTAATTGCGTCGCGTAACCACGAAGAGCACGAACAACACGTACGCACGGTCCACGAACGTTGTCAGGATTACGGTATTGCTATCAATCCCGTAAAGTTTACTTTCGCCACCGACTCTTTAACCTGTTTGGGACACAATATCAACAAGGATACGTGTTCCCCGACTGCGGAACGCATCACGGCAATCCACGAATGGCCACTACCTCCAACAAAAAAAAGTTTGCAGAGATTTCTGGGCTCCGTAAATTTTTACCAACGCTTCATTCGCAACGCCGCAGAATTGCAAGCACCACTATACGACCTAGCCACCAAGATCAAAAACGCGACGGACCATTGTCGTGGACCGACGAAACAAGAACGATTTTCAAATCTTGCCGCTCCGCGCTGGCCGATACGGCAGAACTGGCTCACCCGCTGCCGAACGTACCACTCCGCCTAAGCACCAATGCTTCCAATACAGCCATTGTAGCCTTACTCGAATAACTTTCCGACAAAGGTTGGCAGCCATTGTGTTCTCATTCCAAAAAACTTTCGGGAGCAGAAAAAAAGTACGGTACTTACGCCCGCGAGTTACTAGCCGCATTCTCGGGTACACGTCACTTCCTCCACGCAATCGAGGGACGACTTACCACGTTGCTTACCGACCACAAACCGCTAACATACATGTTCACGCAAAAGACCGAAAAGATCATCGACCGCCAGATTCGACAAATCACGTTTTTGTCGCAATATATAAACCACGTCGAACATCTGCAAGGCGACAAGAACATAGTCCCGGACGCGCTATCAAGGTTTGAAGTTTCGGCCATGCAAGTAGTCCTTCCCGATCTTAAACAATGGTCCACCGACCTAGCCAACGATCCTGAGCTTAAAGATATACTGACCGGCACCACCGAAACCGCTCTCAAAATCGAACCTCGAAGCACCGCCGAAGGTACCATCTACCCAGACACCTCGACAAAGCAAACGCGCATGTACGAACCGCTGCAACATCGACGTACCGTTTTTGACGGGCTACGCGGCCAAGCCCACGGAGGTGGCAGTGCTACTTCACGTCTCATTAAAGCAAGATACTGTTGGCCCTGTATGGACAAGCAGATAAAGTATTGGACCAAATGCTGCATTCAATGTCAACGCACCAAGGTATTTAAACACATCGTGTCACCCATAACGCCTTTCGCGCCGTTTCGGACACATACACGTCGATCTAATTGGTCCACTGCCCCCATCCAACGGCTGCAAGTATTTTTTACGTGCGTAGACCGTTACACGCGCTGGCCGGAAGCATGGCCTATAAACAACATGTCGGCACACACCGTCGCAGCGACACTCACGACGCAGTGGATATCTCGTTTTGGGGTCCCCGACGTGGTCACAACTGACCAAGGACGCCAATTCAAATCCTGACCACCCTCACAGCGAACCTCGGCATCCAACACCTCAGAACCTCCCCTACCATCCTCAGGCCAATGGTTTGGTAGAAAGATTTCACCGCAAGCTCAAAACCGCCATCCAAGCGCAGGACACCGAAAACTGGAGCTTACGGCTTCCCATCGTCCTACTGCCCCTCCGAAACACGATCAAGCCGGACATAGGTCACTCACCTGCGGAGATGGTATACGGCATGTCACTACGGCTACCAGGCGAGATGTTTCATCCCGCTCCACCCGACGCTAAAACAATGATTTTAGAACCATTTATATACCTCGTCACCATGTAAAACAATCATATTGTACTGATGATTATATAGTCAATATAATAATAATAATAATAATATTTATTAATTCTCCAACAAACAATATATACAAGTTAAAATTACTAATAGACAAATTTTTGTTGGATCACCTCCTAAGCCAAAGGCTGTGCTGGAGGTGAGAGTTCATGCAAATACAATATTAAATAAACATATCAATTACAATATAATTATTCAAAAAAAAGTAATATAAACTGTAAACAATTCAAATTAAACTAAGGTATTTAATCCTAAAGACATAAGTTTTCTTTTTAATTGTATAAAATTATTAAATTCATGAATGCAAATATTATATTTAATACAAAAATTAATAAACACAAAATATGGCCCTGACTGACAAAAAGTAGTTCTTAATTTAGGCAGTGATAAATTAATATCTTTAACAAATCGTGTGTTATATTTATGTGTAGAAGTATTAATTGTGTTAGTATATTTAAAGACAACCGCAAAAACATGTATTATATGGAGAGACTTTATATTTAAGATTTTACATTCATTATATAATAAATTTGTTGGAAAGAGTCTTGGCTTATTGAAGATATATTTTACAAGACAATTTAATGTTGTATTTAATTTTTTAATATGAGTTTGATAAGCGTTACCCCAAAATGCTTATAAATTCCCCCAATATAAATTGCTACAATGGAAAACCGATTGTAGTTGTTGTTTTAAATGGAGCAAATAAACCTATAAATAAAAGAATTTTGCCAATATTTAATAAATTAAAAGAATTAATTAAATTTAAAAAATATCCACTCAAAGTAATTGGTAACAAAAGTTACTATACATGTAGAACAGGCCGCCCGGGACGCCGAAACGGACGGCGAAAAGTGGTCGAGAGTCGTCGGCAGACGATCCAGGCAAGGGAGAAAAACGATGGCTGCTGCACCCCCCCCCCCCCCCCCCGCCACAGGGCTCCACCAACGCCCGCCAGTTTACTCCAAGAAACCAACCTACCGGAACACCATTCTGGCAGTGCGTAACTGCGGGCTGACTTGGGTAGAGATAGGCACCAGCGTCACGATGAGGCAGACACGGGATGGATGTCTCCTCCTGGAGCTACCCAAAGGAAGCAGTTCAACAAAAGCAGCCAAAACAATTGCTTTGGCTATGTCAAGCAAGCTCGGCGACTCCGTCGATAAGGTGGTCCAGCTCGGGGTCCAGGGGGATGTCGAAATGTTGGACATCGACGCAGCCGCCACCGCTTCGGAAGTATTGGAGGCACTTCGCAACGCGATTCCCGGACTGGCTGATCCGGTAGTCATGATCGACAGGGACGTAGTCAGCGACGTAAGGATATGGGGCACCCGATACGAACAGCAGATAGCGACGGCGAAAATGCCCAGGAGCATTGCTGCCAGCATCACTAGGGTCCCGATCGGGTGGACCATGTGCCACGTCCGGCCAAGAACGCTGCCACCGGAGAGGTATTTCAGGTGTCACGCCTTCGGCCACAACTCTAGATCTTGCACCGGGGAGGACAGGACGGGCGCCTGCTGGAAGTGCGGCGTGGTAGGCCACTCAATGAAGGACTGCGCCGAGGGAGACGACCGTTGTGTGGCCTGTGAAACCGCTGGTCTGCCGAGGGTCGCGCACAAACCAAGGTCCGGGGCGTGCGCCGCCAGAACACAGTTAGGAGTAGCCAAGATCTCAGATGATTAACTTCTTGCAGATTAATCTGAACGCAAATTGGGCAGCGGAGCAGCTTATGGTACAGACGGCGGAAGAAATCGGGGTTGACATCCTTATTGTGTCTGAGCCGGCCACCCCCATGACCAAGAAGACTGGTAATGCTTCAACACGGATCGCAAGACTGCCGTGGGAACATCACTGCGCTCAGTCACGACGGTCGGGGCTCCGGCAGCGGGTTCGCCTGGTTGTCACTCCGGGGATTGACCGTCTTCAGCTGCTACTGTAGGCCCGGGGCCTCGCTGCCGGAGTATCAACTGTTCCTGGGTGACCTTGAGGCGGCGATCCGTGCTAGAGAGGACTCATCGATCGTTCTGGTCGCCTGGAACGTGGAGTGGGGTTCAAGAACCAACAACCTCAGGGGCGCAACGCTGTCTGATCTCGCCACAAATCTGGGGCTGACCCTGGCCAACTTGGGCACCTCTCCTACCTTCGTGAGAGGGGGAACCACATCAATTATAGATCTCACGTTCTATCGAGGCGTGGATCTCATAGGCTGGCAGGTACCCGACCTGGAGACATTGAGCGACCATAACTACGTCTGTTTCAACACGGCCGACCTGGCCCAGGCCCCGGTCTGTGCCGATATACCCGCTAACATCTCCCCCGGCTGGTCTACCAAGAAGCTCGACCCAGACGCTCTGTGTCGTCATCTGAGCACCACGCATCTAGGAGCTACCGTCGATGCCGCTTGTGCTGAGACAGCGCTGTCTTCGGCTGAATCACTTGACGTGTTTCTGTTCGGCGCCTGCGAAGCTTCCATGTCCAGGAAGAGAAATGGCCCTGAGGGCAGTCGGCCGGTGTTCTGGTGGTCGGATAAGATCGCCGATCTGCGGCGCCAGTCCCTTGCCCTCCGTAGGCGATACCAAGCCTGTATCAGACGCGTCAGCCAGCCTGGAGTCCAAGATGCTAGGTTTTCCTACATCGCCGCCAAGAGAAAGCTTCTTATAGCCATCCGGGAGGCGAAAAACAAGTGCTGGGCTGACTTGTGCGCTCAGGTTGACACTGACCCCTGGGCAGACCCTATAAGCTTGTGATGAAGAAGCTCGGCGGCCAGAACCCGGCCGCGAGCTCCAAGGGCAGGGAGGCCGTCACCGCCGACGCTTTGTTCCCGGCGGCCCCCGTCACCAGGGTCATTCCAGAATTCAGGCCGGAAGAACTCGGTGGAGCAGTCAAGAGGCTCGTACCGGGCAAGGCGGCAGGTCCTTCCGGGATCCCCAACGAAATCCTCAGGGCCGTTGTGCTCGCCCAAGCCTGCGCAGTCCTCCGCGTCTTCAACGATTGCCTCGACGCGTTGACGTTCCCACGGCGTTGGAAGAGGGCACGGAAGAGAACAAACCTCCGGACACCCCGTCGAGCTACAGGCCGATCTGTATGTTGGACATCCCTGGGAAGCTGCTCGAGAGGCTCCTTATTCAGAGGCTAGAAGACCACCTGGACGCTCACGGGGGACGGAGAAGAGCCCCGAACCAGTTCAGCTTCAGGAGGGGAGTTAGCACGGAGTCAGCAATCGACATGGTTCTCAGCATCGCCGCTCAGGCGGCCACCACCACGAGATGGAAGAGCCTCTGCGTTCTGGTGACGCTGGATGTCAGGAACGCCTTCAACTCTCTGGGGTGGCCGGTCATCGACGCAGCTCTGAGGGGCATTAACACCCCGGAGTACTTGGTAGAGATGCTCCGGTCCTGGCTGGCTGACAGAACACTACTAACTGGCGAGGAAATGGCAGAGAGACCGGTGACCTGCGGAGTGCCGCAAAGTTCCGTCCTTGGCCCCACCTTGTAGAATGTCGCTTACGACTCCCTCCTGAAGATGGAAACGCCACCCGGGGTGCAGCTCGTCGGTTTTGCGGACGACCTCGCGGTTGTGGGTACGGCCGTGACCGGACTGCAGCTCGAAGATGCAATCAACCCCACACTGACGGCCATAGACGACTGGATGCGAGGCTGGGACCTAGAGCTGGCTCACCAGTCACCGGTGGTGCTTTCCCGGAGGCGGGCGTTTGTCCCACCACGTTTGATGGTCAGCGGCCACCAGATCCCATTGCGAAATGAGATCAGGTACCTCGGTGTTATTCTGGACAAGCGTCTGACCTTTGATGCATATGCGAGTACCGTCGCTGCGAAGGCTGCGCTACCCAGACTCATGCCCAACATAGGCGGATCGGCTCAGTGGAAGAGGAGGCTGCTCGCGTCTGTTGTGGAAAGCTAGTTGTTGCACGCTGCTCCCGTCTGAATCCCTTCCGTTACAGAAGTCGCCAGAACTAGGGCGATCTTGATCCGTTCGTAGAGGACCGCCGCCTTGAGGGTAATCCGGTCGGACGAAGCCACCCGTTGATCTGCTTGGACTGGAGAGACAGTACATGAATACGAATCCCGACTGCGTATCACCGCAGGTGGACTTACCAGAAAAAATCTATTAAAAAATAATACATTTTTTTAAAAGTTGCACATCATCAGGATAAGGAATTTCTAGTATTTTCATATTTTTCTGAATTATGTAAAATAACAGAATCAAATATAAATTTTGTGCAAGTTATATAGAATCTAAATCCAAAATTTTATTGTGCATATTTTTGCATATTCTTATGTTTATTCTTATTAGATTATATTTTAGCAGTACCTATGTTAGTTTTAAGTGCTATAAAAGGCCATTTATGAAGTCATCTATTTATAAAGATTATTGACACAAATTCACACTGTCGTGCTTATATTCGATGTATAGTTAAATAAACAATCTTCAAATACTTAGTAATAATGTATTTCTCGCGATAAGGCTCACATTTACTGGTGATGAGATAAAATGATAAATTAGATTAATTGTATAAACTTTTCTGTTTTGTATCTTAGCCTCACAATCGAGCATTGAGTTTGATCAATAACTCATGAATCAATTCATTTTTTTTACGTGATTATCATTAATAAATAAGTTATAAATTAATTTTAGAGTAGAATAAAAAAATATTTAGAGCATATTTTAGTGCATGTTTGGTTCTTTTTTAAAGCATATTTGCATATTTTTTTTAAGATTAAAAGTCCCTAAGCCTAAATATTAATTATTATTTTATTATTAGAATGAATGACTGAACAAGTTAATAAAGTTATACCTAATATGAAAAGACTTTTTTCTACTTAGCCCAAAATAGATAATGTATATGTTGTATTTTTGTTAAATGTGTTATATAAGTTTCTCGTTAGCAATGTTATACAACATATTGATGATTTAGGTAATTACTTAGCATACAATAATAGATGAAATAGACAAATATTCAAGTTTTATTATAAATTTTTATTTTATAGTTTATTATATTGTTTAGAATAATAAATTAAAGTTTTTGTTTGGATTATTTTGTGTGTTAGCAGGCCAGGTTAGCTAATATTGCTCCAAGAATTGACTCTCAAAAATTGTGTGACAACATAACAACGACATTTTCAAACATTGATCTGGGGAATTTAAAAGATATTGTGTTAGTATTGTAATGTTTTTATAATTTATGAAAATAATGTATTTATCAATGATAATTTAATTTAGTATACCTAAAAATAACTTGTTACATGTAATACTTAGGTCTCTAAATTAATTATTATTTTCATAAACAATTTCTAATTAATAATGATTATTGGATTACATTTGCCTGTATTTAGAATTTTAGGTATAATCGGTTCAGCGAGAAAACTTGCCAATTGGGTGCATTCTTATGCAACACTCTGCCATTAAGATCTGCTCCACTATGGCAGGGTGTCACGTTAAAATGCATTAAAGAACCAATTTTTGTTGGGCCTCTGTGTTTCTCTCACTAGACAGAGTATACAATTTATGATTAATGATTATCGGATTAATGGTATATAGTCTCATATTATTTGTGAGCTCAAATGATAAATATATAAATAAATTATTGTTGAGTTGATTACTATTTTATTTTTATACAACATTTCTTTATATTTCTATATTTCTTTTAATTGAATTGAAAGAACAACTGTTTATTTTCTCAGGTGTCCAACCATTAGTCCAGAGCATAAAAAAGCTGAAGTATCTAAATTACTTCCGAAGCAATCACAAGAACAAATTGTAGGTATTCCAGCAGCAAAAGAAGAAAAGTCTCCAATTATATGTAGAGACTTAAAAGGCCCAAGTCCTAAAAAATCAACTACTTACCAAATGTATGATAAATATATATTTTGCTCATTGATGATAATTTTTAAGGTTATAAGTAAAATAATGTACTATGATAAACTAAATGAATCGTTAACTAAAAAATATATTTAATATAGATTCCTAATATTTAGGTTTATAATAACATATTCTAAAATATTTTGATTTATAAGAGATAATTTAAACCCTTGACAATAATTATTTAATATTTCTATTCATTCATATAGTTAATTGAATGATATTTTGTTATATTTTAACAATTGATTTGTTTTGTTGGATTTCACCATTGTTTAAAGTATATAAGTACTTACAGAAATTAATTTTACTGACTGTATTTAATTAATTAGGTACTGTATTATTTTTTAGCTTTAAAAAAGAATAAGTTATTATTAGTTTCATATGAAAAAAAAGTAATTGATTTTTAACCAAGTTAAGTTATTTTACTTACTTGCCCATCCTTGCAATTTTGTGATCTTCTATTGTTTCAATATTTGATTTTTTATTTGTTCTTTTTCTTTAGGACTCAACTATCATCAAATTACATAGGAATTAAATTGCAAGAAGACAAAGGAATGTACGAATATAGAGTTGATTTCAATCCTCCAATTGATGACAAATCTGCCAGGGTTTTTTTGATAAATGAACATAAAGATTTATTACCTGTAAGAATATTTGATGGAACATTACTTTATGTACCAAAAATGCTACCGCAAAATGTAATTACTAAAAATAAATACAATTTAAAACAATCTTATAATAACAGTGTCTAAAAAATTATACCAGGTAACGACATTAGTAGGACAATTAAGAGATGAATCTGTGACTTTAACAATAACTTATAAGTGTAAAAATACTTTGAGTGAGTGTATGCATTTTTATAATGTTTTTTTACGTTCAATAATGAAGATGCTTGGTCTAGTAGAATTTGGTAGAAGTTGTTATGATCAATATAAAAGGATTCTTATTCCTGAATTCAAGTAGATAATAAATCCATTTTTAAATATTTTTAGTATTCAGATTAATTGAATAATTTTTTGAATACTTTTTGTAGACTTGAAGTTTGGCCAGGATTTATAACTTCTATTGACGAGTTTGAAAACGGTCTCTATATGTGTGCAGATGTAACACACAGGGTTTTACGGGTAGAACCTGTTATTCAAATAATGTAAGCATATAAATTTTTTTAAATTATTTATACTCCTCAAATTTTGGAGCTTCTATCATATACATCACATTTAGTGTTTCTAACTATATTAATGTTTTTAATAATGTGTATTAGATTTTATTTTTGATCTATTTAATAAATTGTGTAATGAATAATGCAATTTCTTTATGGTGGCTCTTCTTAAAAGTAGAGAAAGTTTTAGTAGCTAGTTCAGAGATTGATTGTATACCAAAAATTAAATGTTAATAATTCAATTTTTAGAAAATTGTAACTTACTTTCAAATAGTAAAAAAAAAAATTTTTCTTAAAAACGTTTTTTTTTAATAATAAAATTCATATCTTTATGAACTAGCTAGATTTTAATCTAATCAAGTCAAATAGATGGGACACAGACAATTTTTGTTTTGGACTTGAGTATTTCAATTATTTTTTTACTATTAATCAATAGAAAAATGAAAAACTTGTAAATAGGCAGTTAAATATTATTTTTCATTACTTGTAATACTTGTATTTTATAATAAAATAAATCAGAATAAGGAAAAGCTTTAAATATATATTTTATTACAAAAGATAAATTTAATAATATTTTATTCAATAATACTGCAAACCAATATAATTAATAATTTTTAAGTAATTTTAAGTGGCATATTATATTTATAAATTTATAAATTTATAAATTTAATGTTAATGTAATTTATTCTGTTCTTTTAATTGTATTTTAAATTTATAATTAATCAACTATTTTAAACATCATTTTTGTATATTTCTATAGGATGGAAATTATGATGAATTCAAAAAACAACAATAAAGATGGCAAACAAGAAATTATGGCTGCATTATGTGGTTCTACAGTAATTACACATTATACTCGTAAAACATACAGAATTGATGATATAGACTTTACAATGAATCCTCTATCAACTTTTGTCCGAAATGATTCTGAAGTAATAAATATGAATTTCAATTAGATCTATTTAAACCTTATATGTAACTATGTTACTGCAAATGTCCGCAATTGGTGAGTGCTGACAGTCACCGGCTAATGTCGTCATGCACCAAAGTTATTGGTGAATGTTGGCATATTGATTAAATTTGTACTCTTTGTAAACATTTTCTAGCGAATGTCGACATTTATATAACGATATTGGTGAATGTTGGTAATGCCAATATTATTTAATCTGATCTCATCTAATATTCTAGTACCTTCTATTAACTAATATACAAGGTATTGTACAAGTTGATAATTTCGATAAAATGTTTTAATAACTTACCCTCCGACTTATTATACCTGGATAACCGCCGTGCTATATGCTGCCTCGTTAACATTTTGTACGATATTGTCATTCAACGTAATTATAGTGTTATCGTGGACCGTAGTATAGCGATTTGTACAATAACCAAAACATTTTTTTCTTTAATGGAAAACATACGTGAAGTATTTTATAATAAATTTAATAATTTATAGTACCTAAAAAATTAGCTACCAAAATTGGTATTATAAATCAATTATACACCAGAAACTAGTTTTCAGTATGTAATGAAAATTCAATATCTATCACTGATGTACTAACGGATGAACAAATTTTGCTTAAAGCAAGCTTCTGTATCAAATTCATCAACTGGTGGGCAAGGGTATACACGATGCAATTGCAAAACAAAGTGCACCGCAAAAAAGTGTGGTTGTAGAAATGTCGGCATTCGATGCAGTTCAAAATGTCATGACAAACTGTCATGTTGCAAATAAGTAGAACAGTTTTTTTTTAAATAATAATTTTTGTATGGCAAAATAATAATAATTTAAATTAATAATAAATGTATAATATATTGTTCAATAATTATAATTAATAAAATTAATTGTTAATATTTATAACTAAACTTATAATTTATATTTTATATTATTGTCTATAGTATTATGTTATAATATTATGTGCGAATACGTAACCTTTGTCAACATTTACCAAAACCGTGTTGTGTATGTCAACATTGACCGAAATCCTAATGTAAATGTCAACATACATTAGTACATGTCTATAATATTTTAATTTTTCAACATTCACCAATTTAGTAGTTGTATGTCGACATTCACTAGGTGATTGTCAGCACTCACCAATTGCGGACATTAACAGTAACAACTACATTTTTTAAACCTTTTTAAACCACTCGAATTTTTGTTGCTGATATTGGTAATTTTTTCTCCTATGTTTAGGTGTCATATAAAGATTATTATAAAACAACATATAATATTGAAATATTGGATCTAATGCAGCCTATGATCATAACAAAATCAAAAAAAAAAAAATGTACATAATGATGCAAAGGTTGGTAATTAAACAGACAAATTAAAATCATTTTACCATCAAAATCATTTTTAATTTACAGGATTCAGATATTTGTTGCTTAGTTCCTGAACTTTGTTATTTAACTGGGCTTACTGAAGCAATGAAAACAAATTGGAAATTGATGAAGGTGCTTCAAACCCTTACTTTGGTTACACCAGAAGTGCGGCAAAATGCTATAATTGAATTGGTTAATCGTATAAATGGTATAAAATTGATTTTATGCATACTTAATCTATACTAAATGCTATTATGTTTAAAAAGCATAATTAATAAAATGTCCAACAAAATATAATAGTTTATTTTATATTATAATATTGAGATGTACGGTAAGTGATAATCATTTACTCTATACTACTAGACAAGCAATGAGTGTATGAAAAAAGTAACAACATAGAGAGCTCTTTTTGATTACGCAATTACTTGTAGCAGGACAAGACGTATAGACATATATATTTTTGTATTTTTTCGTAAAGATATCCTACACCACTAAGAGATGTCACACTTTGTTATACATAGTGCTTGTCTATTAGTATGAAATCTATGGTGATTATCAACATATTTTACCATAAAATGATTTTAGCAATTTACAATTTTAATTTTTAATAAATTCTATAGCTCACGAAGGGGCTAGCAAGAAATGTAAAGAATGGGGTCTTATGATGAGTCCAATCCCTGTCAAAATAGAAGGCCCTGTTTATAAAAAAGAAATTATAGAGTTGGGAAATGGCATCAAAAAAACAGTTGGAATAAACATGGACTGGGGAATGGATGTAGCAAAAAATGCTATGTTTGTTTCTGTAAGTATAAACAAATATGTAAGAAATGTTTCTTGCAATTTTAAGTTTATTCATAATCTTATTTAACATATAAAAACTTAAAACTTCAACTTTTAAAAAATTATAGTAAAAGGAATTCAAGGAGTTCTAAATATTATTTTTTTTTTAATTGTTATTATTTTCTAGGTGAATTTGTTAAATTGGGCCATTATGTACAATCCAAAAGATGAACCAACAGCTAAATCATTTTGCAACCAATTGGCTGCATGCGGCTATCATCTTGGTATGAAAATAAATACCCCAAAAACAATTATAGTTCAGGGATCACATCCAGAAGTTTTTGTTAGTGCCATAAACAATACAGTGAAGAATAATTTAGGAATACAATTTGTTGTTATTATATTTCCAAATCATAGAGAAGACCGATATAATGCTGTCAAACGGATTTGTTGTTCAGTAATCGGAATTCCATCTCAAGTAATAAAAGGAACTATAATATGTTATTATCATTATTATATTTTACTATAATTTATGTGTAGATAATCATCTCAAAGACATTATGTAAGCCAGAGCGGTTAAAATCAATTACTCAGAAGATTGCTTTACAAATTAATTGTAAATTAGGAGGTGCTTGTTGGTCTATTTCAATCCCATTGGTAATGTTATCCTGTATTAAATTTATTTTTAAAATAAATCTAGCAGATTTTTTACACCGTTGATTATCATTTATTATAAATATAAAATATTTTATCAACCTAAGATGCGATAGTGAAATTAAACATGCATATTATATTATGTTATGTTTCACAAAACAGAGCAGAAACATAAAAAAATAAAACTGAAATGGGGTCAATACTATACAGTATATATTATAGATATAGATAAAATGTTCTATTTTATTGCTAATCTTCAGTATACCATGCTTTTATTTTATTTTTTAGATAAATACTATGATAGTTGGAATAGATGCATATCATGAAAAAGGTAAGCAAATGAGTAGTGTTGTTGGTTTTGTAGCTTCAATGGACAAGAATTTTACCCAATGGTATTCAGTCGCAGCAATGCAAAAGAGTACTCATCAAGAACTTATGAAATCGGTTCAAAATGCTTTCCATAAAGTGATGACTCAATTTAAAGCAGTTAGTTTAAATTGTATTACTATATTCTATATCATATGTTGTAATTTTACCTTGAAGTTAATTACAACATTTTATTCTAGAAAAATGGGTTGTTGCCTGATAGAATAATTATATATAGAGATGGTGTATCTGATGGGGATTTAAAATATGTGGAAGAAATTGAACTATCAGATTTAATTGAATCTTTCAAAAACTATCCAGGAAATTATAATCCTAAAGTTACTTTAATAATTGTTCAGAAACGCATTAACACTAGAGTTTTTAAGGTAATTTATAACAAATTAAACTAGAACATTGAATTATTGACACATTTAAAGATACACAATAATTGATAGTTAATAATGATATTAAATGGAAATTAAAAATTATCTTCAATAATAATGTATTACTTGTTTTATAAGAATAATGCTTTAACACTAATTAATAACATTAGGAAATTTTTTCTATTAATGACTAAATTTTAATACTAACAATCATTTATTTTTACCTAATTTTGGTAAACATAATATAATTTATCAGTAATAACTAATAAAATCAATCAGTTATAAATAATAATTTGTAATAAAGTTTTGTTATAATCAGCATGAAAATGTAACATTATTTTGATTTGGTCTGTTTATTTAAATATCTAATTTGTAAATGATGGGTTTTTAATTTATGTAAAAAAATATATTTAATTTCTTAATTATGAAATATTTAATTTTGACTACTTTAATATTTTATTATACATAGTATGAAGATGGAAAATATTCAAATCCATGTTCTGGAACTGTTATTGATAATACTGTAACTAGAAGAAATTATTTCGATTTTTTCTTGGTCTCTCAACATGTTCGCCAGGTATAGTATACCTATTTCTTATGAACAATTTTGTATGAGTCTTATTTTTTTATTATTATTAATTTTAAAATGCTTTTTATATGTAGGGTACTGTTAGTCCTACCCATTATATTGTTCTAAAAAATGGATGTAATTTAAGTGCTGAAAATCTTCAAAGATTATCCTACAAATTGTGTCACTTGTATTATAATTGGTGTGGTACAGTTAAGGTTCCTGCTCCTGTTCAAGTAAATATTAAGTATAAATATTATGTAGATATAAGAACAACATATTTTGTTGAAGTCATGATCATCAATTCTAAAATGGATTTAGTTATTTATAATTTAAAAATACAAATATAGGGTAAAGTGAAACTTGTATAAAAATGTCTGGAGACTGTGATTTACTTCATTACTCAATGATAAAAAAATATATTGTGCTATGAACAATTGTATAATTAGGTTCAAATTACAAAATATTCCATATTAAAAGCAATCAAATAAAAAAATTATTCATAACTTAATTTTTCATTACTGGCCACATGTCACATGTTGCGGCTCAATTAGATGTTCCCAAACATGTATTCTTAGATTCATTAGTGTTTTATTACATCAGCTTAACTAATATGGATATTGTAAATATATATCAGTTTTAGAATCATTTTTAATATCCTATTAATGCTCCTCAAATGTACCAACATTTTTTTTATTTCTTCGAGTGTAAATTGTGAGGGTTTTCATAGTAAAGTTACATTAATATTTTCATCAATAAAATTAATTAATTAAAATACTAGTAGTATTACCTGTATTATTACCAAAGTATTAAAATATTTAAAAACAACTAAATAAAAACATGGGTAACAAAATTTTAATCATTTGCAAATGCAATGCTATAATAATTCTAAAAAAAGTTTAATTTTTCATGACAAACTTCATTGTATATAGTATATTTTGTTTTAAGCATGTCGTATTTTCTTTATAATATAAATATATTTAGTTGTAGTATTATTTAAATTTAAAATGTTTATTATTGCTTTTTTTTTAGTATGCACATAAGCTGGCATACCTTATAGGGCAAAATGTTAGACAAATGCCAAGTGATGGTTTATGCAACTCTCTATTTTACCTTTAAAGAACAAGTACAATTTTGGACAACCAGGGTGGTCTTTTCCGTTTGACTATTACCACAGAACAATACTATTACTGAAATGGAACAACAATAACAATTATTTTTAAATTTTTTAGGTGATAATTTCATTGATATTAAACAAATGAATTCCACATTGATCCAAAATCGTGAAGTTAAGGTAGAAAATAATATATAAAATTATTATCATTGAATTTCTCCATCATATGGACACTTCTGAAACAATTACTGCATTCTTAAACCTAATCTGCCCAATTAACAAATGGCAACCAAAAAATAAATAAAGTACCAATTTCTATTAAAAGATTAAAAAAGCTGCACGGAAAAACAAAAAAAAATTTTTTGTGTCATAATGAATAATATAAACAAGAAATATCATACTTTTATCCATCAATATCACAACTGAAAAACTAGATATTCAAAATCTCCTTATGATATTATAGATAACCTTATAAACTTGTTACACAATTAAAATCAGTAGGTTATAATATATGTCAAGAAATTCAAATTTAGGGTTTTTTTAATGGATTTATTGACGATTTTGTTTGTTTATTTATTTATTATTTTATTACCATTTATTCATTAATTATTTACCAAATTAAAAACTTATGGTTTTATTTATTTAGTAATTATTATTTTAACATTATTTAGTTATACTTATTAAGTATATTGTGTTATTTTTTATTGATTATCATAGAAGTTTACAAATTTTTCTAGATATATTTTATTAGGTAAATAGTAAAATTAATAAATTTGACAATGTCGCATACAATTTCATACAAAATCGTGTTTATTTTTTTCTTAACCCATCTACAAACATGCGCAATCGTGTTGCCAGAAAGGACAGTTTTATGCAATTGTGTTCAACCAGTTATGTATATAGAGAAGGAGGGGGGGTCAACCTCCCCCTTCATCAAAATTTTTTGTTGGTATGGTACTCATACAAATTTATTTAATCAATGTATTAACTAGAACCCAACAGCTCAACATGGGATGAAACAAAAATGAAAATTGCAGGCGAGGAGTATAAATAAAAATAGTTGTTCACTTAATTTATATGGAATAGGTAGTACTAGGTAATTAAGATAATGATTTATTTCTATTTATCTATTTTATATTTATATTATTTCTCAATTTGTAAAATGTCATAGGAAAAGTTTTCGCATTTACATTGCCATAATGCAATGCACTATAAAAAGTAAATTGTGATTTATCTGAATGTAGTGAAAATGTTGAATATTTTATTTAAGTTTTATCTTATAATCACATAAATACCGATAAAAAATTTCAAACAATGCTTTTAGAAGTCTAAGAAAAATTGAATATATTGCATGATACTATTCAAATACAGCGAATAACTGGGTATCAATTGTCTCGTAATAATAAAAGGTAAGCTGAATCACCGAAACAGTATTATAAATGAACAATATTTATATCATTTATCGATTATTAGAAAAATAAATTTATAGAACGATTTTCTAAACACAATGAAGTTATTTCTGTACTACAAAAGTTGATTCCAAATCTCCTCAACAAATTTAAACCTAGCTCTCATGATTTTATGAAATGTGTAGACTTTTATAAACATGTTTTACCCAGCTACAAAATACCTATTTGAATCAGAATTTAAAGTATGAAAAGAAAAATGGAAGAAGTTCCTCAGAATGAATGTCCAGTCTGCTATTGATACTTTCAATTAAGTATTCTTTGATTTTTTTCCAAATATATGGTGCTTGATGCCTTGATGTCAATATTAATAACTTTACCGGCATCAACAGCATCATCGGAAATATCATTTTAAACGCAAAAAAGATTGAAGTCCTACTTGAGAAATGGCACAACTCGTACAAGTGAAAATCGACTAACAGGTTTAGCCCTCCTCATGTCAATTCATCGCAGTATTGCCATATAGTATTTATTGTAGCTTGTATTTGTAATTTGAAATTTGGATGAGCGCTAGGCAGTAGGCAGTAGGCACTAGGAACTCAATAGGCAGTTTTAGTATTTTAGTGGTGGCATTGAGGACTGGAGCATATTGTGATTCGTGATAAACTATAAAGTGTTCTAGTTCCGCGGCGAACGCGAGCGAATTCTATTATGACCATGCTGTTCGTCGCGCGAGCGAGCGACGAAATACAGGCTGTTTTGTTTTTCGCCGCGTCAGACATAGCGTAAGATAGTAATGCTCATGATATAACTAGCTATATGAATTATGATTGTTATATCATGGTGATGCTATTCATTATTTTATTCTGTGATGCTTCAAAGGAAAATACCCCGCACTCCGCCTGTTCTACATTGAACTCTATATGTTATCATACAGAGTTCAATGCTGTTCTATAACATTTCGTGGTTAACCCCCCTTCACCCCGCAAAACAGTGTCGTTTCCAGACTGTGGTCCACCATTCTTATCAATGGCTCGGTTCCACTCATAAATAATACATTTTCCCTGTAATCTGTACATTAATATTTCGTGCATATAATTTAAATTGTATATTTTTTAATATAGATATCGATATTGATAACTTCGCTTCTACCGTGTAATTTATCGTTTTATTTATTGAGGTATAACGTTATAATTAAGAATTACAAATTTGATGTAGCATTTAACTACGATCACATTAATCGTATGACTTTGCAGTCATATAAACTTAAACGATATTGAATATATTATCTTTAGTATTAGTAAATTACCATATGGATAATGGATGTGCTCGTATATACACATCTGTGTACAGCTGAGGATACACCAAACACATAAGTACATCAAGTGTATGGATTTATATGTTCAGCCTACTGAATTGAAAACTATGGAGAACGACAACGAAATAACATTTGATTCTAATGAAATTCAAATATATAAACCTATTGCTGCGGTAAGTTTCATATTCACACAACCCTTGATATTATAACAGCAAACAATTGAAAAATTATAGGTATTAACACGTTCGCTGCGGGATGACGCCTTGAGGCGTCATTTCTATCGTTTCCCATGTGCGGATGACGCCTTAAGGCGTCATTTATACATTTATTTTCAACTATTTTTAATTTTGTCAGCGTTGCGGTTTAACCTTTTTTTTTTCGCCAGCGTTGTTCAGTACATATTACTGTATATGTGTGCGCAATCCGTATCTCAATTTTTCTATTTTAACGACTACGATAAGACTTGAACGGGGAATACTTTTATATTATTATTTCATGTTATTTTAACATTATTTTATAAGTTGTTCGCGTGTGATCGACAGTAAAATACGTAATTTTTACTATCCGTTATTTGACAATTTAATTGACGTATTTTATTCTTATTTTTTTACAATATGAGTAATGAATTAAATGAATCTGGTCCATCTCGACCAAAGCGCATTTGTACGAAACCATTTATAACCAATATTGTAATAAAATATTAAAGTATTTGAATGATAATTATTTTTATTTATATATTTATACGATGACGCCCGATGGCGTCAAACAGCGTCTGGCTAAAAAATTATTCAATGACGCTGATGACGCCAATAGGCGTCATAAAAAAAAAAACACGTAAATTTGACCAGCACCGGGGAATGGGTATACAAAAATCAAGCCGCAGCGAACGTGTTAATGTAAAATCAATATTTTTATGATAGGTCAACAGTAGGATTGAAAATTTCTTAAAGAGAAAGAGAGATGAAAATCATGACAGAAATACCAGGGTTTATTGTAACTCAATATCTAGCAGGAATTATTCTGGTGCTTCTAGAACGTGTAATACAATAGAAGCGAAACGTCAGAAAGGATCTGAATGCTTTGTAAAAAGTAAAGCATTTTTTATACTCTTTTTATTTCATATAAATTAAATTTTAAAAAAATTTCAGAGACGAAAGTGTATAATAATGTAGGACCACTGAATAATGGTGGTTTGGATCCAGCTAGCGTAAACAGTTACAATTTATCAAATAATATAAATTCTGTTGGATTAAAACCAGATGTGCATGAAAGAATATCAAACATAGAAACAGTATTAAATATTAAAAGTGATGGTCAAAGTAACATTGATATTTATCACAAACTAAAATCCTTAGAAGATCATGTATTAAAACTGGAGAATATTTTATTAAATATCAATGAAAATTACTCGTTATCAAATACTTTTTCTGTTGATAAAGATACAGGAATTATAAGACACAATTTAAAGACCGATGATCTTATTACACAGGTAAATTTGTTATTATATTTTATAGATTAAATAGTATTTTCTTGAATACATATTGACATAGTTTATTTTGGTGTTATACTTGAAAATGGCAGTTATCGGGTAGGCTAATTCATTATGCTCACGAGAAAACATAACTGTTTCGCACATGTAGACTGCCGGCATTCCCGACTTTGTACCATTCAGTGTACGCCAAATACGTTTGGATACACGGAATAGAACATGGTAATGATTTCTTACAGGCTAGTTTATAGTAAATTATGTGACTGTATAAATAATGTTTAATTGTATCCAGAAGTAAATTTAATAATGGTATACATGCATAATTGTAGCCGAGACAGGCTATACTGTGTAACTGTGTATAAGTTGACATAATTCTCACAATATCTCTAATGTGCAGTTCTCAGTTATTTATATAATTTTGATGATCCCATCTATTCTTTATTATCTGTGCATAGCACCGACTAAGATTCACATAAATTGTTGAAGACAAACAATTAATAACACACATAGAAGATGCTAGATTTAAATTTGTTTTTTGAGTAAAATTACAAAAAATAAGTTTATGGATAATACTTATAATTTGTTTATGTATCATTTCATAATTCATTATAATTATTTTTCAGAAAAAACTTGCTTCGGAAGATAATTTTATAAGAAAAGAAATGAAACCAAGAGTATTACCAAAAAAATCGGTAAATTATCTACTGTTTTATAAAATACCAATAATATCAATGAGTTTATAATGCACATATTATGGTAGTAATGTTATGTGTTAATAATTAGTCCTATAATATTACCAAATTTAATACAAAATTATGAATCAAATAAATATTTGACATTCTCACAGTTCAAGGATTTTTCACAGTACTGTAGCTTAAAGGAATTTAGCCCGGGTACAAATTCAGACCATTAATCTTAGCATAAGCTCACAACATTTTTAAAAAAAAATGGGGAAGCTGTTTGTTCTGCTGTATAGTAGGTGTAGATTGTCAAGTGTAGCTTGTAATTAAGAAATTTGCTATAATGGATGTTTTAAATTAGAATTTAATGATAAATCTTTGCTTGCTTAAAACAATTCTGAACGGAGACAGTGAACCTATATTTTTAAGGATATTTTATTATACATTTCAATTAGTAATATGGTAGGTTAAACTAATTTTTTCCGGAAAAAATCTCATATATTGTATAATAAATATTGGAATATTAATATTATTACAATATTTCATACAATACCTATTAGGTAGTAGCCATTATTAACTTTTAAGTAGGGTTTGGATTTAAGACAAATGGTTTTTTTTTTTTGTTGGAAAATTATAAATGAACTATTTCATTTCTGTGCTATTAGAAAAGTATGATTTCTGATTTTTTTTTTTTGTATTTTGTAACAAAATAATATCATTTAATTACAATAGTTTTGCACATACTTGAGGTACAAACTACAAATCAATTAGAGCTTGAAAAAATTATGACATTTTGAAAACTCCAGTATCCTGGATAATTTTTATGTATGACATACTCAATGATAATATTGGTGGAGGTAAATGTAATTTTTGAATGTTGTGAGTTTGAACTGTCTACAACTTTCTTAAGATATTTTTTCAAAATATGTGGTTGTACCTTTACTACAAAATGATTAACAGTTAGAATCAAAATAAATTAATATTTTTTTTCCATGTCTTATTTGGGAACGTAATACATTTAAATTGCTATTTTTGCTCATAAGTTTTTTATTTTAATTTTAAGTAGAAATGTAGAGCTTAAAAATGGTCATAACTTACTTAAAATTAATAATATGTATAACATTCTTTGAGATCTGCCTTAAAACGTTATAAGTAGTATTTGTAATTCATACTAGTTTTAAAAATTACGGAGTAAAACGTATTATTGTGTACTTACAATTTGTCATGTTGTATGTTTGTAAGACGGACCCGTGTGGTATCCTCTTAAGTGTTTTATTTTATCATTTATATTGCCGTAAATTACAAATCCTACTTATAAGTTATAAGTCAGTACCAATGTTCCGTAGAATGATGTGGGTATAGTATTTTTTTATACAGTAATTTTTTATCATTAAATTCAAATTTAACACATCTATTACAGTAACTTTTCTAGACACTTAATGTACAGCAGAGAGTTACCAACTTGGCACTATTTTTATCATTTGCATTTTTTATTTTTTATTTATTTTTGTATTATATTTTTATGCATTTAATTACAATTTAAAATCTTAAACTTACTGTAACCTGGTATATAACTATACTCGTGTATTAAATAATAATAAAACAAAATAAAATCCTGTCTTATATGCAAATTTTGTGGGTTCTTTTAAATATAGTTAGATGCTTATTAAAATCTTAAGTGCTTTTTTTTAGTTCTATAAAGGCAAGTACAAAATTTGTCCCATTATTATAACTCATAAGGCATAACTATCATTGTTTTTAGCTTTGCATTAGTGTCAAGAGAAATTATATTCATTAAATCATACAAAATAGCACTGTTTATTATTAATATTTATATTAGCAAATTATTTTGGTTCTCATTGATATATTCGACATTCAAATTTTTTTTTTGATTTATTGATGATTTGTCAATTTTTCTCTAATGATTATAGTTAACCTTGTTATAACTCACAAAATATTTACTGTGGAACTCAAAAGTTTTTGACATCACATGTATTATTATTTTATATTACTTAAAATATAAAATGTATAATAAAGTATTTTGACTAATTTTAAGATATCATGAATCCATTCATTTAACCGTTTTGTACGTCTACAATAACATAAGTTATCAAGTAATAATAAAACTACATATTATATGAAATAATATTGTAAAAATTACTATAATACCATATATGTGATGTTTTTGGCAAATATTAGACCTCCTAATAGTATAGATAAATTATAAAATATTCTCAGACATAGAGGCTGACACCCTGTTCATTGTAACTTGGTACTTATGTCTTTCACAATGAAGGTACACTCAAAATTTACAGTACTTTATTCCACGAGAAAACACACCGTAGCCCAATCCAAATCGGTTCCCTATGTGGCACGCTGTCAAAGGGGAACCAGTTTTGATAGTGGGGGATAACTCGTGGAACAGAGTAATCAGAGCAACTTCTCCAGTTTTTTAGAGTAACTATTAAAGTGCCTATATTTTTAAATTTGTATCTTAATTCATCAACTTAATATTTTGTTATGTTACCATTCATATTTTACACCTTAGGAACTATGAATTTATGATCTATGAGCTTACAAAGTAAATATTTCTGGGTATTTAAATACCTACAAATAAAAACAAAATTAGTTTATTTTGTAATTTTAAAATGTCCATTACTTTTTATTTTTATTCTATTCTTAAAAATTATTTTCTACCATTTAAATTTACAATTAAAATGTTAAAAATGTTGAATATTTTTCAGAAATATTCTGCCAATGAAATACAAGACCTCATTAACAATTTCAAAAGAATTGATGAAAACAAAAAAAAATCCTTGAATCAATATTAAATACATAAGACTTTTATATTTATCTTATCATGTAAAAACATTAAAAATATCTGGTACTTCTATTACTTAGTTGGTTATTTCTTTTGTGCGTAGTATCGTTTAAAGGTACTATCAATATGAGTCAAGTACCACGAATCGGGAAACAAACTGTCAACATTTGAAGTAGGTTCAAAAGGTGCTACAAACAAATTAAAATAATTTAATTTATAGACTTAAGTCATGAATAACTATTACTATTATTCAGATATCTTCATGAAAATAATAAGTAATAACTTTGTTGAACTTTAATAGATATACTACCTTTGTTGTAAGCTAACTCCCGGTTTGTTAATGTATTTTCAAATTCAACAGTCGATGTACATTTTCTATTTTCTAACATCACAGGAACGTGTTGCAATAAATCAATAAGAGTCTCTAGTTTTGCTCCTGGGCGTATAGTAATTGAATAAAATGAAGAACACATGCCGGAACCAAATGAAAACATTGCTATTCGTTTTCCAACCATTTCATTGGTAGGTTTACTATAATTAAATGTATTTAACACATAAATTACAACGCACATTAATGTGTCCATTTTATGGCAAAATTGTAAAAAAAAAAAACAATCAAAATCCTATGGCGTATAATTACCTAAGCAAGTAGGAAATCAGCCCACTAAATATTGATGCTGTGTACATGTTTCCGATATTTTTGGGTAATTTTTGAGTTGGCTCAGTGAGTTTTTTAAACAGTTTTTCTGTATTATTTATAACATCCAAATCAGATAACATACTGACACTGATATCTGAGTTTCTAACAGGCATATATTTCATATATTAATATTTCAATAGCAAATTGAAGGTTAATTATGCACCTTTACCATACAATCACACATTTGATCTGTTATATTGAAATACCATGTTTTTAAAAGCTGAACCAACAATACTTTTTTAAATCAATAATAAAAATCATAAATAGTTACATATTTTAATAATTAAAAAAAATCGGTAAATATATAGTAATAATGCACAATTGATTGTTAATTGTTCCCAATCAAAAATCAGGTTTTAGTTATCTCACATTAAATGCTTACACATATTTCAACAGATCGGATTCATTCGCATAACATTTAGAGTCTAGCTGCACGTCGTGAAGCGTTAACCAGGTAAATGCTTTCCTCACAAGTTTTCCATAGGGCGAATGAAACACAATGGCGTCAAAGTGTTGTAATACACTCTTAGGGCCTATAAAATTTTATCTTACACATGAATGAAATCAATTGGTATCGGTGAGTTACAGCAGGAAATCTGAGTTTACTCTATCTTTACAGAATGGGTAAAAATAAAAATTGTACTAGTATCTTATTAAGCTATTACTCAGATTATTTGATTTGCCCTTGTCTGTGTCAGAGAATTTCTTCAAAAACCTCTTTCGGTACAGATAATAACAGTTGTAAAGAGCGTCAAAATAACACCGGATTGATACTTTTCCATCCACTGTTGGATAATTTGTGCCCATGTCTCCTTTGTAAAAGTCATACGTGTCGGTCATATGTGAAGCTCTCAGTTCTGCGATTTTATGAAGTTTAGAGAATGTGAAAAAAAAAACAATGTTATGATTGCAAGAAAATAATTATACGGTTCTATCTAAGAACCTCTATCTAACACCAAGGGAGCGTTGGGTCCAAGTAGCATCGCCACTGCGCCTGCACCACCCGTTGGCCTTGCTGCACCACGAGCATATGTCGCAACGTCTGCAGCAACAACAATAGCAAGCCGTCCTACAAACAGGTGTACATAAGTCGATTACGACATAACGTTTAAACATATTTTATTAGTTTTGATTCATGACCTATGAAGAATGAATTCAAGATGAGGATTTAATATACTTCTAAAAATGACCACATACTTTTAATAAAACATCAAAATGTAAGCTTTTGATCATGCAACAATGTTAAGTTTTTATGTTTATGTTATAAATAGGTATCACACAGGCAACACTAAATAATATTAATGAAAACCTCATTACTGATTTCTAATCATTTCTTTTTTTTTAATTTTTAAGACTTGAACTATTCTTAATTTCTTATTGTTAATTACAAAATAAAACTTTAAATTTGTTTCTTATTTACAGCTGTTTAACTACATATAAATTATAATAACAGTGAACTCAAAAATAAATTACATTTCCTAATAAGTATGAAAATGCAAAAAGTCTTAACCCATGATAGTAATTAATAAATTCACAATTCCTATATTATAAGTAGGTATGTACCGTCCCAAGCACTGGACTCCAACCATGCTATTGAGTTGAAAAGTGCAGCGGTGCCCCCATAACATGCATTGGTTGAATCTACGCCTTCAACATTGTTACAGTTGTCAAATAAACGCATTAACATGGATTTGATACTTTTGGACTTGTCTACGGGTGTTTCGGTTCCCACTTCAAGTCGTCCAATATTTGAATAACCTTATTTGTATTTAAATTTACAATATAAAATCATTAGACACATTAACATTGGCATAAAAATATATATACATACTTGTTCTTGTACGGTGCATCAACAAACTTACTGCAGTTAGACACAACGAGACGACATCTTCACGGTCTGAACAAAATGCCATACGCTCCTGGCCCAGACCGATTGTATATTTGCCTTTAGATACACCATCGTGCAGCTCGAGGTCAGTCTGGTTCACACATTTAGATGGTACTACTATCTCTAAAGCCAGTATGCCTACATGTTCAGGCCATTTACCTTGGGTATTATCCATTATTTAACTATGAATTTAAACAAAAATATACATTTATAAGCAAAATCATTGGTACTTATTTATAACAGTTATGACGATAAGTGGCAATGAGATTGCTATGATGAAAAAATAAATAACTTACAATATTTTACTTCAAAAATAAAATTTGCAAACTAATAAATATTTTACTGGTTTAATAGAGTAACTGATAAAAAAAAAAATAATACGTTTATATAGTATCTATTGAAATTGTGTGTAATTAAAAAAATAATAATGATCAATGAATAATGTTGGTAATGAGAACTTTTGTGATAATGTGAATCAAACTGTATGAAAATTATATTTATATGCATATGTATTTATTGTCTTTTTAAATATTAATCGCAGTGTGGGAAAATTTGGCTATTGACTATTGTTATTTATATATAGTTTATTTACAGTTTGAATTTCTCACTAAATATAATGATTAGTAAATTACATAAAATTACAAATTATATTAATATCATATACTTATCAAAATGTATCGAAAATGTATATGAATAAATTATATAATAAACTTTTATCGCTATGTCCATAAACTAACTAAATTATATTGAACAAATAATAATTTCATTTAAATATGTATTAGTGAATAAGGTCTGAAAATATTGAAACTTCAGTAAGAACATAATATTTTTCAAGTTTCCGATTTATAATTTCATACCTAGCCCGCCTTATACTATTTATAAAACTTAAAAACTAAGAACTATGAATTACTCACCTTTAAGTGTATACAAAAAATCTAATTGTTGAGCACTTGAATTCATCCATAATTGATTAATATTAATAAAATTATATACAAAATAATTTAAATTCCTATTATTTATTTTGATTTTACTTATAATGGTATACTATACATCATACAAGACACTTTTTAAACACTGATTAATTTATTAGTAGCTTGAAATACACAACCTCTCTGTGATAGTTGATTCATAATGGTAATAATGTTAACACAATCATCTATAAACAATAAATACAAATAATAAGAACTATATTCTTTATTGATATTCATTTTAAATAAATATTACCAATTCCACTGTGGATATTACCAAATTGTTTTGAATTAGTTGTCTTAAGCATACTTTTTATACCTAACGGATATTGTCCCATTGTTAAAGCAAATAACTATTAAAATAATTACAACAATAAACAATTATTTTTAAATTTATAATTAGTTAAGAACATTGAAATACCTTTTTAATGTTTATCCAAGTACACATAAACTCTGGAATTTTGATTGTTGAAGGAAACAATTTACATTGCTCAATAAATATATTGCCTATGTCCCAGTTTCCTGAAGTTACAATGATGGATTTTTCTATATCATTATTAGTGTGATCATTATGCCAATTACAAAAATTGAAGAAAACCTCATCAAATGGTGGGCTATTGCTGACCACATCCTAATATTCATAAACATAAACAGAATATTTTCAAAAAATTGAATAATAAATATATTCGTACAATTGTTATGTTATAGCATTATTTTTTTTTTAATAATTAAATGCTCTATTGTTAAAATAATTTTAAGTAAATTAATAAAAAAACAAGTAAAATTTTATAAATATACCTTAATATTTATTTTTCATTGTGTCAATTTTATACAAGTAAATTTTATTTTTTGTACAATATGTATAAATAATATCATAATGCATCAATCTTTATATTTTGTGTGTTCTTACAAGGCCAGATTTGTATTATCTGGTCTTAGGGCAAACAATATTTAGTAGCCTACACCTCACATTAAGGATTGTAATTTAAAGTTGAATATTTGATACTGTTTATAAATGTATAATATCTAAAATCTAAACCCAAAATCCTTACATATTTGCAAATAGTTTAGCACCAATTTTCGAACATGTTTTATATGTCAGTCATCAAAATGTTAAGAAGTTAGGTTAGCTTAAGTTCTCTGTGTTACTGTAGAATTCAAAGAAAATATCATTAAAATTTTTGATTATAGAGATTCTTGATTATTATGCATAGGTACGAAGAACAAAATCACTTTATGCCATTTATATTATATGCGAGCAATAACTGTACACTTAAGAGTACGCTACCCATGCATTTGTTGTGTCCGGCTTACGCACATACAACATAGCAGAATTTCCATTCACTAGTTTCCATAGTGTGTAGTTAGTTTTGATATTTAAGTGAATTTACCAATTATTAAACATTTAGGTAAGGCCATCTGTGCTTAAGAATCAGCTTCTACACCAAATATTAATTTTCTATATTTATTTTAAGATATGATCTTTTTTAATTTGTGATATTTCACATATTCATACTTGCTTGAAAATTAAAATACTAAAAAATTGACAAGTTTGATAATAAGTCAATTAACTCTAATATCAAATATAATTTTATATGTGAAAACAAAATAACTGTATGAATTATATATCTTATATCAGGTTGCTAATGGTGCTCTAAACACAACTGAGTAGCCTATGATTGGTCCACTATATTTAAGTCAACCAATATATTAATCATTTTTTTTCACATACCAGCATAAATTAACACATAATTTTATTTATGTACATATGGTTTTAATATTATATGGTATAAATAAAAAATATTTTTAAATATACTTAGGTAATTTACATAACATTATTTTTCTTTAACATTTCTATATGTAATTCCATTCATGACTTATGAAAAATAATAAAGTATAATTACAATATTTTAAACATTTTTGGGTTCATGACAAGTCTCCCAACAATCCTCTAATCCGGCCTACGATTTTATATAACAAAAGTAAGTAAACCTATGAACATAAAGGTCATATACTAATATAATATATAACACAAAGATTATATGAAACATATTATATTATTATATTTTATATTTTTCATCACTCATATTGTATAAATTGTATATGTTACAGCTAAAGTGTTGAATTCCGTTATTTTATGAAATAACTAGGTAGTTCATGAATTACCTACAAATGTTAGTTAAAGTATGAATTAATACATGGAAATTGTACTTTAACTAGTTATTTCATAGAATATCTAGTTATTCTATACAATTTCAGTTTGATATCCATTGAAGTATAAAATACATTAAAATTTAAAATATATATTAAAATGTTTTATTTTACTGAATTAATTATAGTTATATCATTTATTTATTTGTTGGTGTAAGGCTATTATGGCATTTAGAGTGAGTTGCACAATACCTCTTTTTTTGTACAAACACATCACAATACTTTTATTTGGAACAGCTTCTACAGCTAACAAATTTTCTGAACATACTGTGAACTGGGATCGAAAATATAGTTGTAATAACACTCCTGTAATTATAATGTGTAGGTAGGTATGAAATAAATAAAAAATAAAAGGACGTCAACATTATCTAATTTAATATGTTATATTAAATGGTTGAAAATGTTAGAAGTATATTTATTTATCATGATATTTTATTATTTACAAATTGTCACTATAAATTATATACATTACTTACAAGCTTTAGTTATTTTATAAATTACCTAGTTATTTCATAAACTAACTGATTCAACACTTTAACTGTAATATATATAAATATATCATCAATTGACAAAAATTATAGGTTAAATCTTAATATTTGTATTATTAATGAAAATAAATAGTTATTTTAAATGATGTACTATTAATTGGTAATCTAGCAATAAGTCAATTAGTAATTAATTAATTAGTTTAAAATTTAAACAGTAATTCCAACAAATAGAATTACAAAACTTAACAGTAGTAGAATTGCTTTAGAAATACTATACTTGTGTAATACCCGTCAACTGTGTACAATATTCTGTCAGCACTGTATGAATTATAGGTTTAACATATGAATGAAAACACGATACTACTTCAAAACCTCCTTTGGCTGTATTAAATTCTACTAGTATACACGGAAATTCAATTATTTCCTGAAACAAATATATTGATAACTATTAATATTATGTTACCTAGTTAAAAGATATGTAAATAAAAATGTTAATATGATAACTCAAAACAATATGTTATTATAACGTTTCTTAATTTTACATAATTTTTACCTATATGTAATGAATAGATAATTATAAATTCACTGTGAATAATTATTTATGATTCTGAACAAACATTTAGGAAGTATTAAAATTATTTAAATACATTTTTAGTATGATATGGGTATAAGTGTTTAGCAATTGAATACAGCAAAAGCTTGAACAAATGAAGTGTAACAATTTCATATATTTTCATATTGGAAATCATACTATTAACGGGTTTATTTAAGTAGAGAAATGACAAATCACTGATGAAAATTTAAAAGAATGTATCGTTTGTAATCAAAATGTTTAGAGGAAGGAATCAAACCATTAGACAATGGACGAAGACAGTTGATAATAATTATTAGATTTAAATATCCCACTTCTAACTTGCCCATGATAAAACAAGCAAATTAATTTCTACACATATTGTATGTAATATTTGTTAATTAGTTTATTATCAATATTATATTCCTTCTGTAAGATATTTTTAATTGAATATTAATCCTTGAGGAAAGTCCAGTTATATTTAAAAGTGATTACATCCATTTTTTCTTTTGACAAAATAATAATTAAGTCTACCTAATACAATTGTTACATTTAAGCTTAAAATAAAAATGAACCTGAGGTTTTAGTATATGAGCCCCATTGTCGCAAGTAGCTTCAAAATCTAAGACAAAAAACTTAGAATATGGTTGAGATATGTTAGGTCTTGTAATTGATTCTGCATTTGGTTTTTCCGTTGACCGGATAAACATTGTTTTATTAAACATCAAATTGTACTTTTGAAATATTTGTGGTCGGAATAATATATTAAACTTCTTCATAATTGACAAACGTTTAATCGATATAAAAAAAACTAAAAAGATCAATCTTAATAATACAATGTCTGTAAAGAAATAAGAATAATAATACTCAATATTCCAGAAACTGCCTCTTATCAGTTATCACTTTCTGATAAAGTGGGTATAAAGATCTCACAGATATCTATATTATAGTATATTATAATATAATCTATATATCTGTGAAAGATCTATAGATCGTAAAATTGGTAATCACATAACTGCAAATAGTGCATTAAATGTTATGTTTAATAATTAATATTATCTTGAAGGCAGTTTTAATTATATTCTATTAATCATTTTTCAGATAGAA